GACCGTCGATGACGACGTTTAGGTTGTTGGACACCGTTGCAGGGGCGTCGTAACGATGCGTGGCGTCGGGAGAGTGGGAGCGCTCCGGCGTTCTTGGAGGCTCTTTACGTCGGTCTTCTTCGGCAACTCCACCTCCAGGGGTTGCCGCGCCTAGTTTCCCCGGCGAGGAGCGAGGGGCGACGGGCTTTCACGTCGGGGTCGGTGCATCGGCGAAGCTGGACGTCGTGGCGATGGCGACCGGAACTCTCGGCGGGACGCAGGCTCGGGGGACTGGGGTCGTCGCAGGTACTCGTCGATCTCAGTAGGGCGTTCACCATGACGGGGGCGCGGGTCGTTCGGGTGGAACCCGCGTAGCCCGAGTCGTCGGTATGGGCATCGGCGGTAGATGTGGTCCGCTTCCCCGCAATGGAAGCACAGAGGGCGTCGGTCGGGCGTTCGCCACACGTCGGTCTTGCGGGGTGCGCGAGGCTCCGGGCAGGCGTACTGGACCTGGTCGTCGTGGCGTCGGTCGTGCTGCGGCGCAGGAGACTGACGTCGGGGTGGCGCGACATAGGTGCGACGAGGAGGCGGTGGCCGTCGGGCCACTGCGGCGTAACTCAATGTCGGTGGTTCCGGAGCGGTGCTGACGGGAACCTCAGGCTGCAGCGCTTGCTGGACTTCTTCCCTGACAATCTCGGCGATTGAGGGCGAAGCTGGGCTTGCGGCGGCAGGTAGAAGTTTCTTGATCTCCTCCCGCACGACGTCCCGGATAATCTCGCGGAGGTCCGGGCTGTTGCAGCTGGAAGTCGAGAGGGCCGCGACGCCGGGAAGTCGCTGGTAATGGGAGGCCCGTGCTTGAAGGGCACGTTCAATGTTTGTTGCCTCCGTGATGAATCCTTCGACTGTGGTAGGCGGGGCTCGTACAAGGCCTCCGAAGATGTTTTCTTTGACGCCTCGCATCAGGATTCTCAGCTTCTTCGCTTCGGAGGCTTGAGGATCGGCGCGGTTGCTGAGTCGCAGGACATCCTCCACGAAGCTGACGATGCTCTCGTTAGGGCCTTGGATCCTCGCTTGAAGAAGCTCTTCCGCGCGTTCTCTTCGATGTTGGTTCGTGAACGTTCTTCGCAACTCAGCTTTGAGTAGCTCCCAGGAGGTGATCGATGCTTCGTGGTTCTCGAACCAGTTCCGAGCGGTTGCTTCCAAGGCGAAGTAAGCATTCTGTAGACACTGTTCTGGTGTCCACCCGTTATGACGGGCCACTCGTTCGTACTGTTGGACCCAGTCGTCGACGTCTTCGTGGCTTTCGCCGTGGAAGGGAGCCGGTGTCCGAGGAGCGACGGGTAGGTAGACGACGGCAGGAGCGGCGGGGTTCTGCGACTGGTTGGCCATCGTCGTCGTCTCCGGCTTGGGCGTGTCCAGCAGTAAACCGTAGTCAGGATCCTCTTCCTTGGTGCGGCGGCTGGTCCGAGTTTCAGCTTCCGCGGTGAGTGGTCTTCTCACCGAGCTAGGAACCGGACTTGCAGTGCGGGCCCTTGGAGGGGAACGCGGCAGGGGCATGCGGTACCCCGCACCTCCACCAAATGTCACGGGTGGTGACCAAACAAAAAACAGGAAATAAACAGAAAGAAATAAACGTTTAATGTGGCGAACTTGTGCCAAAAAAAATAAAGAAGGAAACAGAAGAAAGCAGAGCGTCGCGGGCGTCGAAGTCGGCGCGCCAGCAGAATCGAGCGCTAGGGCGAGACTGACTCGACAAGGTCGCGGGCGGCCTCTTATCTAAAGTGCGCCGCTATCTCGAAGATTCGGCGAAAGCGGTTCGAGCGTCGCGTGATCGGGGCGAGAATGAACACGCACTTTCTAGAAAACAAAAGCAGGGATAAATGATAGAAGTTACGTGCGGTACATGAATAAACGGGAACTTTCTGGAGGACCGTAACCGAGCGTTGCTTTCTCAGCCTTGCGCGCGGCAATATGTTGTTGATCAGGAAGTTTGTTCGTTTCGTCGTCCATAGAAGAAATATTACTTTTTGTAATTACTGTTTTCTTAATACGCCTGTGTACGCGAAGTAAAACTCGGAGGTGCCATTGAAAAGCTCAATTATAACACACTTCTTATCTCTTATCTGTACTGACCCGCAGCGCTGCACGAAGCGAAGTCCCCACCCACTTGCATTTTACTAATATTCAACATCGCGTATGCACGTAAAGTTGTCCTGCAATCGTATAGGCACATTCGCGCATACAAACCGTTTTAAGAAAGCAAAAGTCGAGCACTTGAGTGAAAAATGTTGCACCATTCGCCAGAAGTACGCCACGGGTATGAACCCCTATGCGGTGCGCCAAACGAACGAAATTATTCAAAGTGCATTTGACGGTTGCTAATGGCCATAATATTTGTCATGTGTTAGCTTTCTTCCTGCCTGAGTATGCCGCGATAATTTCGGACACACCGTTCAGGCACAGATCTTGGGCGTCAGTAAAAGCTCGTCCAAAAAGGCTTAGCGAGGAGTAGGGGACGCTTGTTAGGGCCTCCGTCGTAGCTAGCCCATCTCCGCGTTTGCGAAAACTTAATCTTCTATCAGCATAAAATTTGAGTGGGAGATATATGATGACACGAGGAAGACATCATAGTAACTTTGGTGCAGTAGAGACGTCGAATTTATTGCGTTTCCTTAAAAGTTTACGCGTCAACGCTGGGCTCAACTTTGATACTCCTGTGAGAATGTGGCTTGCTTTTTGCCCAATGAAGTAACAAGAAGCGGACGTTTGGCAAACAAAATAGGTGAAAGGCTCCAGGTGAACCAATTTCAGTTCTACTTCACTGGTACTAGACGGGATTATTGAAATTGAACTCAAAGATGCACTCGTTAAGGTGACTAAGCCACGTCTTACTACGTTTGCATACGCACTCAAATATCCGGTGTTTCGGGTACCAAAAAAAGTGCCCCGGCCTTCGTTTTGTATCGCTCGAGAATGAGTATATTGTACATTCGTAAAAAAGTCAGATAATCGAAAACGCAAGCAGTGCGTTCGGTCGCGGCGTGATAGCATGAGATGAATCTGCTCAGTCGAAACCGAAACTGAGTGGCCAACTGGTTCCCAGAATGCACTGCATGGTATTTCGCCGCAATGGGGCGCGTCAGTTTTGGAAGAAGTCCATTGGCCAGCAGTCTCCTTGCAACATCCTGGACACAGCAACAAAACCCAGCCCTTGCACCTGTTACACTGAGTACGAGCGTCTGACAAAAACTAACTCACGGAAAGGAAATGGCGGCAGTTAGGTCTACTGCAAACGAACTAACACACAGATACCTGACAATAATTAAGTCTGCAACTACAATGAAATAAAATGAGACAGACCCAAAAGCTGCAACCGATGACCATGGAGGGGACATGGGTCTCGTGCATCTGCAAGAAAAAACACAGAAACTGCAAAATTAAAATAGGCAAGTGGATAAACCAAAAAGGGTCGGAGGCAAAGCATAGGCTCCCAGAAGCGTAAAGGTGCTGCACGGTGAAGGCTCACATGGAAAGCTCATGAAGTAAAGGGATGGCTTGCAAATGTCTTAAGCAAGTGCAGAAGTGAAAAACTTGAGGATACAGAGAGAGTGCATATTTCGAGGTGTGCGAATGACACGAGGAAAGTGAACAGAAGAATGACAGGGGAAAAGACAAGCTAACATGGGCAGGAAGTCTCTGCATAGGCTTTCATGCAAGACACCAGGAAGGAAAGTGTAGGCTACAAACATCCATATGAAGCAAAAAGGGATGAGTGAAACATAAGCAGTGCACAGCACAAGGAGGAGGACAAGAAAAAAAAACATGATACAGAAGAGCAAGATTGCATGACAGCGAAAGCTTCACATAGGCCTACACGTAGAGCAGAAGAAAAATTGCTCCCCACAAAGAACCGTAGCAAGCGTAAAAAAATTCAGAGGCTTCATGCAGCCATACGCACAGAGCACAATAAAAAAAAAAGCTTCCCACAAACATCCGAAGCAAGCGTAAAAGTAAAAGAATATTCTGGGACCTCACTCAGGCTTACATGCAGAGCATAAGAAAAAGCAAGCTTCCCACAAAGAGCTGAAGAAAGTGTGAAAAAAATTTAGATGCTTCACGCAAACTTACACGCAGAGCACAAGAAAAAGAAAGGATTCCCACAAACATCTGAAGCAAGCATGAAAAAAATCCAGAGGCTTCATGCAGGCTTGCACATAGAGCATAAGAAAAAGAGCTTCCCACAAACATCTCTAGTAAGCGTAAAAAAAATTCAGAGGCGTCACACAGGTTTACAGGCAGAGCCTAAGAAAAAAAGCGTTCCGCAAAGACCCATAGCAAGCGTAAAAAAAATTCAGAGGCCTCAGGCAGAGCACAAAAAAATGGGCTTCTCACAGACCCGTAGCAAGCATAAAAAAAGTACAGATGCTTACAAGCACAGCACAAGAAACTTCCCACAAACATGTGTAGCAAGCATAAAAAAAAAATGCAGAGGCTTCACGTAGGCTTACATGGAGATCACAAGAAAAAGGGCCTCGCACAAACAACCGTTGCAAGAGTAAAAAAAATTCAGAAGTGCCTCGGTAAACAAGGAACGCAAAAAATGAAAGCTGCCCTTAACACAAAGAAGAAAGCAAAGTAAAAACAAAATGAGAACGGGACAACAGTTTCATCAACTAAGGCAATCTAAAACACTAATTAGTTTTCCGAGGTCCTGCCATCGACTGCCGAAGTCCCTGCGTTCAGCTGCCCCAGCCGCCAACTCGCGACTTTTTTCCCGCAGGAACAGTTGCAGCTGTGCATGGCAGAATAGCCTGATGAGCTTCATTTTGATTTCATGGCGGTCGGGCAGCTGAACACATTGGCTCTCTGCAGCCATCCTCGCCGATAGGCCGTCCAGGATGCCCCGTGCGTGCATCAAATCCGCAATGAGGCTGCGAAAGACACTTTCACAAATTGTGAAGAGGGCGCGTGCAGCTTCAGAGGGGCAGGACAGAGCGTCAGGGACATAACTATTTAGCCTGAGGAGGCTATTTGCAGGTGCCATGGGGACTTGAACAGCTGCAGCACACGTGTCACATGTAGCATTATGTTTTACAACTCTTCGTACCACATACCCGCGTAATAGTCAAAGCTATTCTCCTCAGGTTGTGACATGGTGAGTTCTACCTCCTCAAGAAAAATGTCGGTGGGCACAGCAGGTTGTACATCCAAGTCTGCGAGGTCAGCCAGGTAAAAGGAGGCATCGTCCAGTTCGTAGGACCCTGCCTTGGACGCCTTCAGGTACTGCGAGTGTGTGATGATTTTTAAGGTCATCTTAAACTCCAAGAAGTTGGGATAGGGTTGCCCTGTCGCATTACCGAAAACAAGTTTTCATGGCAGTCCTGCGTGAATCTGGATGTGAGCACAAATGAAAAAGAATGTCCCTCAATGAGACTTTGCTGCAGGTCTAGAATGGACTTGGTAGAGAGGATTACCCCCGCCTGCACTGGCTTGAACGCCCCATCCCCAATAGTGAGGTGGAGAAAAAGATCCTTAAATTTGACCAAAAAGTCAAGGGTGTTCTTGTAGCAGGCCTCATTTTGCCTGCTGATCGCAAGGACTGGGTGCCTGCTGCTCATAAGATCAAACCATTTGTTGACCTGTTCCAAGAACCAAGCCGTGGTGAGGAAGTTGGTGCTCCAGCCATGTTTCTCCACCAGGAAGCGCAGGGCAGTGGCCGTGGAGTGACTGAGGACCCGTAGGGCAGTGCTCACCTACAAACACAGAACTGCTTTAGATCATCAAGTGTATGCAATGTTTGGTAAACTCGACTGAAGGAATCAATGATTTGAAACTTCCCCCTCAGTCAATAAAAGAACAGCATGGGCACTAAACGAAGAAAAGGCTGCTAACTTCCATTATTGTTGTCCATACGAATGGTTTTTGCTGGTTTTTTACGAGTTTTTGCCACTCTCTTAAAGTTGGCAGTTCCACTTCATGAGCAAAGGTGATGAATGCCAGCACTGAAGTAAAGTACACTCCATGGTTACTTTGGTAGCTGTGCGTTGCTAAAAGTGTCACCGACTCCGATTTGTGAACCACTGACTGATTTTGTTGAAAACACTTTAAGGGAAGCTAAAGAGGTTCTCCAAAAAAAAATGAGTTAGAGGTAAATTCTTCCGTATTTGTATCCTGCAAATTTGAATATGCACTATTTGCTCAAGAAGTATCACCCAACGCAAAGAAATATTTAAAAAATTCACTCGGCATGATGTCACGTCAAGAACTTTCACCTGGCCACCGAAGCTCAAGCACCATCTCTCGTGCAGTGTTCCGGCACATGTGACCAGCCTTGCCCAATGCAGCGTTTTTTTTTCTCGTGAAATGGTGCGTCATCTGCTACAGACGCCTAGTTCCCGCTACAATCTTTCACGCCTGACCAACATCCGCTAAATCTTTTATGAAAGTTTATAGGTGTACTAAACTTACGTCAAAACAAACAGGCGAGTGAAAATCGTGAGCATGAGGTGAATAGCACACAAATTGTCGGCCACTCAAATAAGCTCGCAATAGCTGCAGAGATTCCGAGGATCCTTGTTGCGACGCTGCTGTCTCTCAGAAATTTCCTCCTAGCTTCTTGCACCTCGGGAGGGCGGGGCTTCAGCGCTATGGTCAAAATGCTTTGATGGCTACTCCGGGCCTCAAATTGACAAATAATTTTAATATTCGTGATACTGGAGGCCATATGAAGATGATGCAAGTGTTTTTTAAATGTACAAAACCGCTTTAGTTTCCCCTTAAGCAGGCACGTGCGAATAACGAATTTTATGTTTCAAGCGAATAAGAAGCTAATAGTGACTTGGGTCGAATAATTTCGAATCGCATATTGAATACTTGCTGTGCCTTTCTGATACTGCCATTGCGCTCAGCTTCCGCCATCTTGACAGTGTTGATGTCAAGATGGCGGAAGGTAGCTTAGCTTAATGGAAGCTAACCTAAGTTAGCTTCCAGTCGTGTGTAACTAGCTTAGCTACCTACAAACAAGCTAAGCTACATGCTAACTTAGCTTAGCACTCTTACCTTAGTACACATTTTTCAAAACATTATAGTATTTGAGTAATGGATGAGTGTGAACGAGTATGAATAAAAAGTCATTTTAGATATGATATAAAGACTATCGTACCTAAAACACCTAATATCAAGGGGCACACAGTAATCCACTGAAATGAGGTTAGACAAGAGTAATTTTGAGTATGTTTTGTTCACGTTCTCAAGGATGTGCGTAAATTCTGCAGTTGCTAATCGAAGCAACAAATGAAGCTTGTCATTTAGTTCTCCTTGTCAACAGCCTTTTTCCTGTAGAGATAGCTTCCTAGTGCACAAACTCAGCATGTGAGCAATGATTATACTTTGTAAAGGAAAATCTAGCTGGTTTCATTTAGGTTATTCTCAAGTATCTGCCTACCCACTGCCAAGGCTCGGTTAATTCTGATCTAAATTACTGAAGGACTCTCGCTTCAAATAAATCAAGCCCTACATAGAGATTGTAAGTAGATGAGAGATTTGTCAGTCCTCTCGCTATACCCAAATATTCGTTTTAAATCTTAGACTAAAGAAATGATGAGCAATGATGCACACTGCTTGACGGGACCTCAATTGTAGAGTAACACATATTCATGGTAAAAGCCAGTTTTTTTTTTTGGCCTTGAGGTAAGCACTCATATTGACCAGGAACATGAACAATCATTACGCTACATTACAATGTTTTCCTGAATTCGTCGCACACGCGCGTGACCTCTTCTTCTCTGGAGGTGTGCCTTCCACTCAATGCACAATCGCAGTGCCTGCGAAATACGCACAATCACGGTGTTTTCTCTGTAAGTGTCGCTTCTACACAGCACACCGGTGCTCGTTAAGAAGCGCACTCAACTGCGCTAACTCGCTGCAATCGCGATTTTGCCAGCACTTAGAAAGTGCGCACATCACCGAACGAACGGCACGCGGCCAACTCATCGCGAGTCCCAAGGGCAACTGATAAGAGCGCTAGAGCGATCTCGACATCACAGGACACAGGACACACACGATTGGTAGGTGAGATGATGACGTTTTATTCTAGTAGGGCCGCGCCAATCACGGGGTGCAGATTAGACCTACCTTCCACTACATTAATGGGACGCTTAGTACCTGGGAATTGTGACTAGAATGACGTCACGTGAGATCTGTGTATAGCCATAGGCTGGGGATGGCAACATGTGCAGCATGTGCCGAGCTGTAAACAATGTTTAATTTTGGCCATTCGTGTGCAGAGATTAGTCATGAGCTGCCCAAATGTTTGCCGAGGCACTTATTGTCACGAACCCAAGTCAAGTGTTCATGCAGTGCTCGTATGGAATCCATAAGCCTCATTCGACCATCATCACCACAGGGTGCTCTCCTAGACACCGTCAGCATAATTACCTCCATGGTCGCATCAGCAAGGTTACAAAAATTGGGAGTGAAGGAAACACTCCCCCTCTAAACTTGAATTCACATCTCGACGAGTGCAAGATACTGAGGTCAAACTAGTGCTGTATGCCTGCGATGAGAGAATCATTCCAACACAATATCAATAATCTACCCCTTCATACCACACTGTAACTAAGTGAAAAAGGAACCATGACACCAACTTATCATTTAAAAATAAATTGTGTAAAATACAAAAACACTACAGTTACTAACAAGGATATTATACCTGCAAATAATCAACAGGGAGCTTTGAAGCATTTGAGTAGCCTGACAACAAACTTGCCTTCAAGCCGCCGCCCTAGAGTTCTAGACGACGGCAATGGGAAGCTCCCCTCCAGTAGCAAGTCGTAGCCCAAGCTGCCACATGCAGATCGCATCTGCAGCGACTTCTTCACCGTCTCATTAGACCACTTGGACCCCCTGTTGCTGGATCTCGATAGAGCTGCCAGATGGTCCACAATGAAGAACTCGTGCAAGTGAGACCGGAATGTCGCTTCCCTTGTCTTTTGTAAGGCAGCCTGCCTCACCAAGCGATGATTCTCGTTCTCCAGCTGCTTGATCTTCAGGCTCATCTGAAGAAAGACATCTTCAGTGAGCCTAGGTGAAACGGGTGATGGAGAAAGAGGCTGTAGGGTTCGCTCAGAGGTCTTGGCCGCTGGTTGCCACAAACACGGTACAAGAATTGGGTGTCGCCCACCTCATGAGATCACTCCAAGCAGTGCAAGAACCATGACACATACCCAGCTGGTGGAGGCCGCCGACACCAAGGTGCCGAGGGCAGCTGCGCTGGCCTGGCCGCGCTGGTTGTCACTGGTCACCTGCAGCGAAGGGTGCGGTGGTATTGCTACACGGGGGTACACAGGACCCTGGAAGATGCTTACGAAGCACGCCCCGCTGGTGGTGGGGAGCGGCTGCGTTAGCAGGCCGCCCTGCAGGGCCGCTCCAGAGGTCCTGGCTGCTGGTTGCTGCAAACACGGTACGAGAATCGGGTGATTCCCACCTCACAAGATCACTCCAAGCCGTGCAAGAACCACATACCCAGCTGATGGTGTCTGCCGACACCAAGGTGCCGCGGGCAGCTGAGCTGGCCTGGCCGCGCTGGTTGTCACTGGTCACCTGCGGCGAAGAGCGTGGTGGTATTGCTACACGGGGGTACGCAGGACCCTGGAAGATGCTTACGAAGCACGCCCCACTGGTGGTGGGCAGCGGCTGCGTCAGCAGGCCGACCTGCAGGGTCGCTCCGGAGGTCCTGGCCGCTGGTTGCTGCAAACACGGTACGAGAATCCTCGTTTTGCAGAAATATGGGTTCGAGAATAAATGGATTTGTCGCCCTTTCTCTCTTCATGCTGGCCGAGCGGAGAGGGACGAAGGCTTCTTTGTATTTACCTCGGGGTGAAAGATAATCCCCAAGAAGGACAAAAGTGGTTTTGGGGGAGCTGTATCTAAGTCAATGCGACACAATAAGCCAACGGGACGCAGTGGACGTGCCTGCGGCCAGGGAACTCTCGTCTTTTAGCCATGCACTCTCGAACCACTAATTCTGCAAATGGTCCACTGGGTGTTGCCCACCTCACGAGATCACTCCAAGCCATGCAAGAACCATGACAGATACTTAGCTGGTGAGGCTGTCATAACATTACAAGGCAGCTGAGAGTGATGAATGCCTCATGCATTAACTTAATAGAAGCAACAGAATGAGTTATTGGGTTTTGACTTACCTTTCCATGAGGCGGAGTTTTGTGCTGTGTCAGGCTGCAACACTGAATGATGGTGTCTCATGCACTCTTGCACAAGGACCACTCCGATTTAAAAAAAAAAGGGTCTCTGACATGGAACAGAGATGTCAAAAGCCTACCAAGTCCACATTATTATAGGTCACCTGTGCCTCTTTCAAATCATATCAGTAAAAACATCTTAACACAAGATAAATTATTGCTTTTAATTCACTCTCATAATCTAGGTAAATACCAAAAGAACAAAAATCTCACTTATCCTCGTTACACACACTCACTTGACTTTCAGAATGCAGAAACAAGCTCGGAACAGCTGTGGCTTTTAGCCTCCTCCAGCCGTCAGAGCACCTCGTCTGGAACTGGGAGGGCTCGAAGTGGTCCTGCAGCGAATAACGTTTTGGTAGACGTCAAAACGGTGTATTCAGCCGCTCGCGTCACAGTACAGTTATTCCGCTGACGAGAGGCTCACGCTTTCAAAATACGCGATCTTACAAATCCATCATCGCACGACCGCCACAGGCCTGAACCACTCGTCTTTCTGCGGTGAAGCGAAAGCGCACAGGACGCTTCCACGGCAGTAGAGAATAGATCACAAAATACACGGTTTCGTCACAGTGCACTCGCGTCCACCGTGCTCGCGTCACAATATTAACAATGAACAATACCTCACCTCGCAAAGGTAGGTTCTGTCGGGAGGTTTCCACCCCGCGCCACGCCTGATTCCTGAAAGCCACAGTTTCCGTCTCCTCGGGGATTTCGGCAGCTTGAACAAGCGAATTCCCCTGGAAGCTCTGTTCCGGCACTTCAGAGCACAACAACGACCCATTTTTCAAACAAGATCGGAACGGCGGAACTTTTGTTTACGTTATTTCAACGCACGTGTCCGCGTGCGCATTCGTTTATTCTACCATTAAAGAAGGCTATGACGAAAAGCTCACATGCACCAAGTTTTCAGTCACCGAGCGTTAACTTTTTTAACTCTAGCGACGCTAAAATGAAATTACCGAACCCTGCTTTACTTTTTAGGCTCACGACCACCGCTAGGGGAGGTTTTGCGGCTTGTGATTGGCCACGAGCGGCCTGTCAATCAACTATTCGACCAATAGATTTTCGCTCCATTGATACCAATGAATGGCCAAACTCTCCCAATATACGGCTCTGGGATGGATGGATGGATGGATGAATACGGCTGAGCCCTTTGGATCGGGCGGTAGCTTACGCCACCTAGCCAGGGGTGGCGCGGTCGCGCCCCCAAGCGGTAGAAGTGCTCCCATTGCTTCCATCTAATTCGAAAGCAAAGGCCGTAAAGAATGGCGCCGTCTCGTCCGGCCATGGCATTGGGTACCACATAAAGTGGCACTGCCATAAAAAGGACTTTAAAGGGGCCATGAAACGAATTTTGGTTTGGGATGAATGATTTTAAATTGGGACTTTACTAATCGCATATCGTTTAGTTGGCCAAAAGAAAGAGGCTAGAAAGTCAAAAGCCAGCTTTTCGGTACGAGCATTTGAAAATATAGCGGAGTATTTTGTACCTTCTTGCCTTCGAAAGCTCTCCGCCTTTTCACTAGGATACATCCGCGGTTCCAAAAGCGCGTCACCGGCGCCAAACTGACGTCAGCCGAGCCCAGCTCACGCATTGGACACGAGAACTGCGTCACTCGGACGTATGCGCTCGTCAACAATCAATCCGTCGACGAATATTTGGATTCGCGTTCGTGGCCAATGAGTGCCCTGACGGAACTTATCGTCACTGGCGAATGACAAGTTCTATGGTGTGCATAAAAATCATGGTGGAAGCTAGGAGTCATTGCACCAGTGCCGAAGGAATGTCACGACCACGTGATTCCACAATTCGCATTTGAGTTGAGGATTAAAGCTAAGGAGGAAGAAGTAGGACAATCGTTTCATGACCCCTTTAAGAAACCCTATACTTCGTTTCACTTTAAATGTGAGCGTACATAAGCTACAAGAGCGAGCGGCAGTTTGATACTTTAGACCCATGTTACGGATGAAAAAAACAGGACGCGGGATGGCCAAAAAAACACGTTTTTCGTTTAAGGCTCGTCAAATTATGAGGCGCTGGAGAAATGCAGCCTTCTGCGTTAAGTCCTTATTTTGAACTCTTTTTGTTCGCCTTCCGCCCATTGAAAAGCATGCGGGAAGGGCCTTAGAAGGCGCCTGGTATTGCTGCGGCGCAGCGTTCATCTGCAAGATAAAGTTCGTCTGCTTTCCTCGCCGTCACCATGGCAACGAACGCCGAATGAATGGAAGCACGCACGGTACCACCGCGTGAAGCTAGCAACAGCTGACGCCATTTTACGAACGCCGTCTGCTAGCCAAAGCCGAACGCGGTGTGTCAGATCAACCGCCTCCGCCGGTGCGCCGCTAGCAAAGACGACGAAGCTGAGACACGCCGACGGCGATCGAGCAAGCAACAACACCGCTGGACGACTGCAACGGCGGCATTTATTCGGATCAAAGGCCGCCTTTGCCGGTGCGCCCCTAGCGAAAACGACGAAGCTGAGGCACGCCGACGCGAATGCGCGAGCAACAGCACCGCGGGACGATTGCAACTGCGGCATTTATTGGGATCAAAGGCGCGAAATAAGCAAGAACAATTTTTATTTGAATCATAACACGCGATATCCAAGTTGGGGACCACATACCTCTGCTGGGTCTTTCCGGTGAACTTTCTACAGAGACATGGGGTGCCGCATTCAAAACACAGCTCTGTTTACAAAATATGGGGGTCCTGAAAAGGGCCCTTTAGACCGCTACCAGAACCTATAACTGACGCAACGAGCACTTGACGAGCGGTTGGCGCATAAGTCGTCTTTATGCACGCAGGCGGGCGACGGGCTCAGCGCAGCGGATCACTCGAAGTCACCGGGGCCGTCAGAATCATTGCCCTGTCTGCGTCGGGGCTTTAGATTTTGGCGCCCGCGGCGACGAACGACTGGTATCTATCAGTGTTTCCGCGCGCCTTCTCTCTCCTCCAAAACATGAACTTTGCAAGGTGTCCAGGGAAATGGTGGCTCTCGCGCCGTCCAGATGGAAGAGAGTTTTTGACGTGGGCCCAGGTGCCCTCCACCGTATTGGTGTGCGCACCAGTATTTGGGTTGACAAAGTGCAGCTTGTGGTTAACGGTGAGGTGCGTGAAGCGAGCGTCATCTACAAGCTTGCGATAGCCAGCCCAACAATCAGTGATTATTCTTGTTCCAGGGCGGACCCACTCGGCTATTAGCCCTAGCAGGGTTTTAGCGTCACGGGTCTCCACGGAAACAAGAAAGCAGCACCCGCTGCCACGCTCCACACCGCCGAAAAACCACTGGCCAGGCCTTAAATACCCGCGATGGTACTTCCGCCGACCCGAACATACTCTCGTCTAGTTGTACAGTCACGCCTTCGCCGCCAATCATCTCTGAATGCGTAAAGACGGCATTTATCACAAGCTCCCGACAAAGGCTCGTCTAATCAGTTATTGTCTTACCTGCGACACCAGTCTCTCGCTGAATGACGGCGCACGGTAGGCTCTGGCACCAGAGGTAGATGATCTTCATGAGTTGGGGAAGCGTCATGTGCGATCCCTCGAAAAAGGAACCGCTCCGTACCGAGACCTCGCCCCGGCACTGAACCTTGAGCGGCTACCTCTTGGGCACCTCACGAGTCATCCACCACACCGCATCTCTAGGAATAACCATACGCAGATCTAGCACGGACTTGCAGCGTCATTGCAGCTTCGCACTCTGGGCACGCACACGAACCGAGGAGCAGGCCCATGCACTGCAGCAAATTAATTGCTTCAAGAGGGTCTTTCAGGGCGTCATGAAGACGGCACAAGTTATACGCCACGGTACTGCAACGCTCGCCTCTGGAAGAATAAAGCGCCGAGGGGGCTAAATGGCTAAACGAGCAGAACTGCACGCTTCTTTGCATTCATTATTTTTCTGATCCGCCATTATACCTTGTAACACTATTCTAACAAACTCATTGGTTAATCGGTCGGACCATGTCATCACGTGACAAAACAAACGCCAATCACATGACCAGAACGGTTG